TACCATCAGGAGAGGTTGAACGAGAGAGAAGGGCAAGAGAGAGGAGTCAATAGAAAAGAGGAGATCAAATGAAAGCCTATATTCTGAACAGAACCATCCCCTCCATTCAGCTTCCAGGTCTCCAGATGACATTTTGCATTCTCTGAGTGTTAATGATGAGTTGTTGGGGTGGAGCGATAGATACCAACATTTGAGAGTTCCCAAACAAAATGGTCTGGTCCCCTCCCCATCACCCAGGCCCACCAGTGGACATAGCACTTTCTATCATTTTTAATACCTAACTGTTACATACGAACAGAAATCCAAAAGATGATGGGCACCAACAAACGTGGAAAATGGTCACTATACTGATTAATGATGGGTTCCACCATTCTGAGAAGAGGTGCACAGTTCTATGGGCAGCGCAAACGGTTAAGCACTGGGCTGCTGACCAAAAAGGTTGGCAGTTCCACCCAGAGACATCTCAGGAGAAAGGCCTGGCCGTGTACTTCTGAAAAGTCTGCCAGTACGGTTCTACTCTGACACACGTGGGTCTCATCAGTCTGACTGAACTCTATGGCAACGGTTGTTGTTTTTTTTCAATCAGAGTTGGAGGATATATTAATGGTGCATACATTTTACAAAAAGTAAAACAGTGAGGCAATGATCAACTCCAGAATAACATAAAGTTGGATGTTAAGGAAACACATTCACAGTTCATGGCTCAACTGTAGACAGTTATTTTATATGGTCATTCTAATATAAACACTGAATGTTGATTTACCTGAAAGTTATGATATAATGGGAGGGTAGAGGAAATGGAAGGAATTATAGGGTAGGGCAGTGTTTTATAAGTGCTAACCTTTACATAGTGGAATCAATAGATAAAGCCTAAACTTGAAAAATGAAAACAATAGCAACATAGGTATACCATTTAGAAATAAGGATTTAAGTACCAGAATAAACCATTCCTGTTGCCATCAAGCTGATCTGAACTCATGGCGACCCTATGTGACAGAGCAGGGTTTCCTAGGCTGTAATCTTTATGGGAGCAGATCGCCAAGTCTCTTCTCCTGCTGAGTGGATGGTGGGATCAAACCACTGACCTTTCAGTTAACAGCCGAGCACTTTAACCACTGCACTACCAGTGCTCCTTGAATAAACCATTAAGAGTTGAAAAAGCATACCTCTGGGGAATGAACGTGTGGATAAGGAGAGATGGGGTGAGGATTGATATATTTCATTATGAACCTTGTAAAAATTTTTTTTTTCTTTTTTTTAAACTGTGGACACATAATTACTTAGGGAACGATTTTCTAAAAACTTTCTAAATTCATGTGTCTTCTTCCATGGACTCTGGGCTCCCCACTGGCAAAACATTTGTACTGACTGAGGGACATACAACAGACTCTCTTTAACACTGGTCACCTTTAGCCAAATGTCCAACCAACAGTACACATATGAGACATTACTTTTTAAAGCACATACTCTTCTTTTTTTTAAC